CATGCATCTAAGGTGAACTTGACAGAAGGGTATCACTGTGGCACCATGGCAGGGTAGATGAAGGTACTGTAGGTAACCTGTAACTCTTGACCAACATCTAGCATGTTCCTCTTGATAATTCAAATAAAATCACTGTGATTATAACTGCCCAAACTGGATCTGAGTGGAGTAGAAGCTGCCTACAACCCTTTTCTAGAAAGAGAGGGAGAGAAGGCTGGTAGCCATGTGTGTTTTTCTACATAGAAAGTAGCTTATTGGCCAAAACACTTGAACAGAACAGGAAGAGGGAGTGGCATTGAGCCAAGGCACACCCAACATCATCCTAGGGTAAATGGGTGGCTTTGGTCAAGTCTTCTTGGCAGTAGGCTGTTGAAAATTAACAGCAAAGTCCATAATGAAGGGACACAGAACTAAAATGCCAACCCTTAATAGGCAACTAAAGAATAAACTTAAAACCTGCTGCCACCGTAAGGTAGGACTTGTGATATGAGGATCTCAAATGTTCTTCCATATACAATCTTATCACCTGCCCCAATTCCCTGACTCCTTCCTCAGGACAGCCAGCCGTCTACCTTTGAGTTGTTCTTCAGTATCAACTGAAGATTCTTTCTGTCCTTCAAAATAAGATGTCCTTGACATCAAAACGTGAAGTTTGTGACCAACATGTAATTAGTTCTTAACTGTCTTGGAACACCGGTGGGTGGGTCCCTGTTGTACTATTTCTGGCTTATTTCAGCCTGGAACTCTTTCCTGAGACTGGTTTCCTCTTGTATAACTGTGTGGCACCATTGGGCAGAGCTTTGAAGGCTCTGGTGACAAATATTAAATGTCTTAAGATTGGGGCTGAGGGAGGGTGGACTCTTCCCCGTCACTCCATTTTTCACCCAGTTGCTTTATCTACCTGACAGGAAGGCTTGAACTCCTGCCATGTCTAAGTTATTCTTCTAAACACTGACTTAATGGCAAGACTCAAAGTGTCATAACACAGCTCCCCGAAGCAATGAAGACTGTCCAGGCCTCACCGAGAAGTCTGTACAATGTCCCATCAGAAGTGGAAAAGGGAATAGAAGGCAGAAGGAGAACAATATAAATCCAGGCATGTTTAGAAGACACCCGTGGCGCTTCACTTCATCATGTGGAGACAAATGAGCACTCGTTAGGTCCCTGTCTGAGGCTGGAAGGCACCAGGGAGGAGAGAGAATGGACAACCGTGACCATGACTCCCTCAGCCCTTTATTGGCAGGAATGAAGGGGGCTGGGCTGGGCAGCCTGTACTCAGAAAAACCTCAGTGGGGTACTCAGTTTCGAAGGACTAGACATTGTCTAAGAAACAACAGACTTTTCGTCTCATTTATACGAAGGCTTCGATCCAGATCTTTGGCTAACCTCCATGTAGGTCACTGAGGAAAGCTTTTTAGTCTCTTTTCTTCTCACTGTTAATTCCATAACTGCTAACCAGGCAGTTTCACTGTGCCTATTAGCTGCTGAACTATGGCTTGTAAGGCGTGATGGCCCCTTCTTACCCATAAAGAGCTGTTCTGGAGGGGGAATACGATAGTGCATAGGGAAATACCTTTGAGATTCACCACATATTCAGTGACATATAAATTAAGATTCTCCCAGATGAAAGAGAAACAGTGCCCTGTAAGACTACGGTAAGAGCTTTGGAATATGACCACTTTCGGATTTCCTGCCAGCTTGCCATGACGCTGGCTTCTCTGGCTACACCTCCCGCCATTGATGGGGCTGCGTGCAAACGAGGCGTGTGGATGGGGTGTGTGTCGGGGGTGACAGTTGTTCAGGTGGTGCCTTTCAAAACGCTAATTATTTAAGGTCCACAATACAAACAACAAAGCCAATCAGATACCACCGTGGAAGGTGGCTATGCTATATTGTGGCAATATTCGTCTTGGTGGTCCTTAGGCCAGTGACAAGCCAATTGTCATAATCTTTCTGTGCCTATGCACGCAGCCTCTTGTATTCATTGATAATACTGTTTCTAAAAGTAACCTTAATGTTACACAAAGTGTTCTTTTCTGTTTTAGACCTCAGCATATCCGGCTTAAATCTGAACTTGACCCTTTAGACAAGTCTCCCTAGATTGGCCTATACTTCTTTAATCTAACAACAGTCTTCACAGCCTCAGTTGGGTCTCTATTTTAGATAAAGGAGTACCCTTAAACTTTTATGTTATGGTTTGAGCCACAAATGTTCCCCATAGATTCATCCTTTGGATGCTTGTTCCCATGGCACTATTTGGGGATGCTGCAGAACCTTTAGGAGACAGGACCTAGTTGACAGTTGTAGGTCCTAGGAGTTGGCTTTTGACAGTTACAGTCTGGTCTCTGGTTCTAGTCTTGCTGTCTGATCCCTGGTCTATGTGATGTACATGGCTGTTCTCTGCCATGGGCTCCATCAACCATAATGTTCTACTCAAGTGCATGGTGCCGAGTGACCATGGACTTCAATCGTTGAAACCAGGAGTCAAAGAAAACCCTTGTTCTCTTAAGTAATTTCTGTCAGATATATTTGGTCACAGTGAGATCAAGCATAACTGATTCTTCCTCTCTTGATCCAAAGCATCTCATGTCAGTCTAGGTGACTGATGGTTTAGGCACAGAATCCCTGGTGTCCCTCTGAATTTATCCCTGTTGGTGGAATAAGCCAGTTAGTTCTTCAGCCCAATTTGGACGCAACACTGTGCGTCTGGCCTTTGTGAGCCTCCCTGTGGATGCTTGTCCCTGCTCTGTGACAACTCACAAGGTTGCATCACAGCTCAGCAGTGGGGCTGGCTGCCTTCTGCACTCTCCATCTGCTGTGTCCTGTGATCCTTTGAGATCTGCAGCGTGCCCTGAGCATCTCTCCATGTGGCCACCTCCAGACAGCATCCACCCAACTCCTGTAGAAAGCCCACACCCTCGGTGCAGGCCATCTGTGACTCAGCTCGGGATTAGTCATTTTTCCCTCCACTGTCCCCCACGCCTGTCAGCAGCCCTCTCCCATAATCCACTGCGCTTTCACAATTCTCTCATCTGTTCCTGCTCTCCTCCCCTGCCCCCCACCACCCCAGCCCAAGTCAGTGAGATCTCTGCTGCTTTTCTCTGCCTCCCACCAGGCTACTGTTCATTTTCCCCTGAATTTCCTTTAGGCTTTTACCAATAGCTGGTTCCATGATGATAAGAATCAATCTTATAGCCTTGGGGGAAAGTGCCATAGCCATGTGCTTGGGAAAAAACATAGTGCATGTCACCTGCCGAAATAATGAAGCCACTGTAGCAGAGTGATTCTTGTGTCAGCATTGAATCCCCTCATACTTTTACCTATGTTTAGTGTGTGTGTGCACCCACAAACATGTGCATGTGTAAACAACTCTCTGGAGTCTGTTCTCTCCTGCCAACATGTGGGTTCTGGAGCTTGAATTCAGGTCTTCTAGTTTGGTGGCAAATGCCTTTGGCTGCCCCCCAATCTCCTCATTCTTAATGATTCAGTGGACAGGATGACCGTACCCACTGGCTTTCCCAGTAGCCAAGACAGGTTGCAGCGTTACTTACTTCGTTACAGTAAAATAGTTTTGCTTCCCAATTATCTAGGTGTATCAAAAGGAGTCAACAGTAAGAGGTGTCATCTAATTCATTACCAAAGAGTTGGGAGTGCTTTGATTTTCCATTTTCAATGCTGTGAGGAAAATTAAAGGTGCATGGAAATTCAAGATATGTTGGATGAAATTCTCAAAGAATATATAAAAACATTCTTTCTAAAAAGTGTCTAGAAATGGTATTCAGCTCCTTTGTAAAAGTCAATGAGCACACTGAAATTGATTTCTCTTCTATACTGAAAATGTTGCACATGAAATTCAAGCGTACGACATCGCAATAGGGGACCAGGAAATGACATTGTACCTGCGGATGCTATAAAGCTGAAGCATGGAATTTTCAAGATGTGTCACAGAAATTCTTTGTCATTGATGCATCTGGTAGAGGATTACTATCCAGGATATACAAAGAACTCAAAAAAAAAAAAAAAAGCAACAAGAAAACAAGCAACCCAGTTAATAAATGGGATAGTGACATTAACATATAGCTCATAAAAGAAAAATACAAATGCGGGGGGGGGGGGGGAATCAGCCTCATTAGCTATCAAAGAAATGTAAATTAAAAATGTACTGAAATTCCATCATATCTCAGTCAGAATAGCAGTCACTAAAAAAACAAAGAACAAATAAATGCTCGCAGAGGTGTGCATAAAAGGGAATCCTCGTTCTCTGCTGGCAGGCATGTAAACTCATCTAATCCCCCACGGAAATGAGTACGGAGCCTTCCCAACAAGCTAGAGATCAAGCTTCCAGAAGACAGAGCTGCACCACTCCTGAGCGTTGATCCAAAGACTTCTGAGTCTTATCCCAGAAACACATGCATATCAGTTCACTGCAGTGTGATTCACAAGAGTTAAGTTATAGAACCAGCCTGGGTGTGCGGCAGCAGAGGAAGTAAGGAACTGAGGAAAAGGCAGCATAGATACATGGTGGTTTCTATGTCATCTGTGGTAAAACGGATGCAACGGGAGACGAATGTACTAAGCAAAGTAAGCCAGCCTCAGAAAGACAGAGATTGTATGTTTTCTCTCATTTGCGGTCCCTGCTTTTTATAGTCACTGAAAGCCATGTTTATATACATTAAATAAAAGTAAAACTATCTAGGGGAACAAAGGAGATTAGTGTTAGAGGGGAGAGGTAATGGGGTAGAGAGAGGGTGGTATAGTGGGTAGTGAGGGACAGAGGAGGGAATTCATCCAATATAAAATATATACCTTTAAGAAAATTTAAGTTAAATTTTAAAAATTCCTAAAATTTTTAATGTACCCTTAGAACATAGTTACTAAGTAAAAATCCCATATTTCAACCAGGGCTTGGTCTTCAAAGGACTCTGCTTTATTTTCTTGGGCAGACTTCATGGTGTTTGAGATTTGGAAAACGGGAGGGGCCTAGAGGTCAGCATACTCACCTGGCCAGTAATACATGTAGACCTTCCTCCTGGCCTTCATCAGAGTGATCCACAACGGTTCCGACCCATTCCACCAGAGCGGCAAAAGGCTGTCTTGGTTGACCCCGATGTCGAAGGACTTGTTGGTTCTGGAATCCCACATGTGGTTCCCGATCATCTGGTGGACCTCACAATGGCGGCCTGTGGGGATGAGGGAACACATGGTCGCTTTATTCTTTGTTTTTAAACTTTGTTTAATCTGATTGCAAGAGCTTCTCATGTTCATTTAGGAATGAGAGAAAGTTCCACAACTTGTCCTTTTCTTAGATGATGCCATGGGGACAAACAAGATAGGCACCATTGGGTTCAAGGCCAGCCAGGTCTACACACCAGGTTCCTGATCAGCCACAGCAGTGTGATGAGTCCCTGTCTCAAAAATAAAGCAGATATCCAATAGCTGATTGAGAGTGGGATCCTTTGCATGAAGCTAAGCCTTTCCATCTGCTCTGTTTTAAGTTACATTGAGGAGACCAGTGAGATGGTTTAGTATGTAAACGAGCTGGTCGCCAAGCTTGAGAAGCTGAGTTCGATTCCCAGAACCTACGTAGTGGAAGAAGAGAACTGGTTCTCTCAAGTTATCCTTTGACCTCTGGTCCTCTGTGAGCGACACACACACACACACACACACACACACACACGCACGCACGCACGCACGCACGCACGCACGCATGCACGCACGCATGCACACACGCACGCACCACATTTTTTCATAGCCTGATGGCTACATATGCACCAGCCTGGAAAGAGTGGATTCTCGTGACAGGTGATTAGATTCTGCATCCCTTCCAGTCTCCTCCCACAAATCGGTGGTCCAGCTGCGAGGAACATGATTCTCTCCTTTCTTGGGAGAGACAAGTTACTGCTTCAGTGGTAAACAATGATCCACCCTATAACATATGGAACCAAAGAATGCAAAACAGACTGGGGGGGGCAAGGAAACACCCCTCCACTTGGAGTGGGTTAACAAAGCGAGGGCTGGTTCTGTTGGACGGAGCTCCATCCCAGAGGAGAAGCCAGAAGTGAAAGTCGCAAGCACTGGGACTCTTTGGAACATTAGATTAAATTATTTATTTTAGAGCAATCTGTTACATCTTTAAAGTTAAAAATACCACAAACATTGGCGAGGGCATCAAAAATCGCTGCAATCTGAGCGAGTCATTCGGCACAGGGTGGGGTGGAGGAAGACACACTTAAGCAAGCCCTACAAGAAAGTGTAAGCAGAGTAGTGTTTTCTAGTCTCCCAGCCCGCGCCCCCAAACCAAATGACAGAGAGGATGGGGACGAAAACAAAGACAGGGCTCAGCCCTGCAACCTTTCAACTCTGCCCCCCCCCCCCCCCCCCCCCGCCTCGTTTTTAAACAAAAACAAAGAGGAACTACCAAGGACAATGTTGGAATACCGAACACCAAAATTTCTAAAAAGGGGAAGCCTTCTCTCCCATCACAGAAAGCCAGACATTCCGCAAACCATGCTTTACATGTGAAGTCCAAAGATCTAAAAGAGTTTTTTCCCAAAGCTGTAGTAGCATAGTATTTTTATCCCCACTAAGGGTTTTGCTTATGAACTAATAAAATTTCAAAGTGAAAGAGAACAGAGACACTAGAATCATCAAGCAATTTCTCCATGGTTAAGGAATTTGACTCGCACTTATTGAACACACACACCACACACACACACACACACACACTCCTATCTATCATATACTGTGATAAGCATAGAGAGTCAAATGTGAAGCATGGTCTCCATCTTCAAGTGGTCTTTAATTTAATACCCAGCAGAGGGTCTTTGCATAAACGAGACCTGTTTCCAGGGACCCAGGAAGCCAGGAAGGGGACCAGACTGCAGCTTCCCTTCAGACTCATGACCATCAGTGATGTCCTTCTTGCTAAGGAGAAAGGGGAATATGGTCTGACTAGTTCATCAAGTAGAAACATCTTTCTTCTTGATTCAAAACGTTTAGTTCAGGAACGTTGAAGCCCATTAAGGAGCCCCCCCTCCCCCCCCCTCCAGCAAAAGCGCTGATGAGTTCTTCCTTTAGAACAATGAATTCAGACGCTTATCTTCTTTAATGTCTGTTCGCTCATGTTTCCATGAGGCAATCATGAGGACGACCACTGCAAAGGTACTTCACAGAAGATGCTCAGTGCCAAGAAGCACAAAACAATCAAATTCAGTTTCTAAAGTACTTTAAACAACCGCCGGACGCCGCGTCCCTGGGCAATCCCCTCTTCCTTAACCTCCGTCGCCAGTGCGCAGAATCTGGAGTCCAAACCCTCCCACCTTCCTCGGCTCTCGGCTGTCTAACTGAAAAGTTAAGAGGGACTTCCTGTACGCTGCAGAGCTGTTGTGTCTGGACTGAGAAGAGGGAAGCAGGGAAGGAAGAAGGAAGAGAGAAAGAGAGGTAGGGCCGTGAGAGCCTTTCTGCGGGACCCAGCCATGCCACAAAGAACCACCTCAGACTCAGCTCCGAGGTTGGGTTTTTTGGTGGACTGCCCTTCCTGTTCAAAGGCTGAACGGCAGGTGCCGGGCCAGTCCCCAGGGTTGCAGAAAAAGCTGCCTTTCTGAAAGCCAGCAGGAGGCTGGACGGCCCTAGCCCATCTGGCCCTCTCTCTTCTCCCCCAGCTCAGCCTCCTCTGCTCCCAGGAGCACAGCGAGGCTGGCAGCGTGTGCTTGGAGCAGCCTGATGCCTGACTCCCGCAGATTTCTTTACCTTGTCTCCCTTTCTCTCTTGCAACTCATTCTTGTGATTTTATTGCAGGTGTGTGTGTGTGTGTGTGTGTGTGTGTGTGAAAGTGGTAGCTGAGAAAACAGAACAGAACAAAACAAAACACAGTGTACCAGCTTCGCAGCCTACAGAGTGCTTCATCTCCATCTTCCAGCCTGACCCATATCTATTTTTACACATCGGCAGGGTTTGATTTTTTCCCCGGTTTGTGCTTTCCACGGAGCCTTGCTATGGCTGGCTATCTAGAACAGTTACCCAAAGCATTAGGAGAAACTTTCTGCAGCACAGTTCTCAGTATTTTCCAGTAACGATGCAAAGTCTTATTTAATGTGTTCTGGTGCCATGGCATCACCAGAGGCTTTCTAGCCCTGCACCAAATTCCGTATTTCTACTACTGTGGAATTCAACAGCCTTCACAGGACACAGGAGAAAAGAGGCTCTGTGAACTGTATCTGTCACTGGTGATGACCAAAACTGTCTCTTGGCTAAACTTTAACCCGGGCTCCTCTTCCTCTGAGCCTTCTGTTCAACCATACCTGGCTTCAGCTTCCCTCTTGTGGAGTCCATTTTAAGCATGAACACTGCTACTTGGTTTGGGGAGAAACCCAGACCTCCATCCTCGCTTGCTTCCCAGTTGTGATAAAGCACTGGCCAAAGGCAACTTAGAGGAGAAAAAAAAATTGTTTCATCGTAGAACTTCTAGGTCACAATCTGTCCCTAAAGGCAGTCACAGCAGGAACCAAAGGCAGGAACCTGGAGGCAGGAACTGATGCAGAGGCCATGGAGGGGTGCTGCTTACTGGCTTGCTCCTCATGGCTTGCTCAGCCTACTTTCTTATACAACCAAGGCTGAGCCCTCCCACCTCAATCATCGATAACAAAAATGTCCACATATATTCCAAATACTAGGTGGGATATATTAAGAATTCCTTATCGCTTTTCAAAGGGTTAAGTGTAACTGCATGCCCTGATCACCTCACTTGTTGCCATGAAGATCATCTCTTTCTTTTTCCTGTCTGTGGTCACAGCAGGACTAAGGAGCAGCCCAAAGAAACACACACAAGGCACACGAACATACAGCCTCGTCTGTCTGGAAGGGTCAAGGAGAGCTCTTCAGAGGAGCCAGGACTTGACAGGTTAGGTGAGGTTTCCAAAAAAAAAAAAAAGATTCCTTAGAAAGGAATGAAGAGGTGAGACACGGGTTATTTCTTAGGACAAAATAAAGATGCTTGCTTTTTTTTTTAATCACACTTGCTGATGAAAATAAGAATGTGACTCTCTTGCTTTGAACAGAGCGGTACCCTCAAAGCTCTGCTGGTTCAGCACACTGAACAGGTCCAAAGCTGGACTCCCTCAAGATCCCAGCAATAAACCAATCATGCCGTTTCATTTAGGGCTGTCTAGTGGGGAGGACTGGAGTGGTCAGTGGTGAAACCACACAGAGGTCATCACTTCCATCTCCCAGGACTAAAGAGCAGGAGGAAGGATGTGATCATCAAGGACCCTCCTCTAGCTATCAAAACCCCCTTCCGTAGGCTATAGGTTCGCTACGAAGGATGAAGTCCCACACACATGGACAAACAGAATCCAACGGCTTTTAAAAAAAAATTTACACTGATAGCTTTAACAGAAGTCCTTAATATCAGAGACCACATGGGCCGTGTATCCCCTGATCACAGACATGTAAGTTTCAGGGTACCACTGGGCACATCTCTGACAGAACTGGAAGGGGCCTCAGGTGGCTTCTTTCCTCCGGGACCTCCTAACACTTGATCCATGGGGTATGAGTTAGTACTCAGTCGAGTTGTCCTCCTTTGTGCAAGGTTTTGTTTTTTCTCAGTTTCAGCTACTCAAAACCAACTGCAGCCTAGAAACACAGAATATTCTAGAAATAAGCAATCCGTAAACTTTAAGTTGCACACTCTTCTAAGGCTCACTCTCAACACAAGCACCGCGATACTGAGAAAGTCGATGGATAACATGGTTACTAAGGAACTAAGAAGGAGGCAGGGTGCTGAGCAAGGAAACACTGAACGAAGGGATGTCTCTCATCACCAGTGGGAGAGAACACACGGGTGTGAGAGTTCATCGCATACCCCCAGCCGTAATTCAGACCGGCTTCCTAGAGATCCTTGAGGAACATGAGTGCTATGCAGTGAGAAAGGGCAGGAGCGGGAGCCCCAGAGCAAGCCCGAGAGAGCTCCCCAACAGAACTGTTATTACAGCTGATTGTGACAGTCGCTCTTTCACGTTAGTTGTGATCGTTAGCCTTTTCCTGTGCCTGGTTTATAAACCACCCTTTCTTCTAAGTCTGTATGGAGGAAGTAGCATGGCATGTACAAAGTTTAATCCTGTCCAGTGTTATGACAGGCATCCACCGGAGGTCTTCAAGTACAATCCATGCTTGATGACACCCC